TAAAAAGTTCTTCACCAACAGAGACCTAAGTTTGACTCTGCGGCTAAGAATGCTCAGGTGTTATGTGTTTTCCGTCCTTTTGTATGGTATGGAAGCATGGACGCTGAAGCAGGTGCATATAAATAAACTGGTCGCATTTGAGCTCTGGTGTTACAGAAGGATCCTGAGGATATCGTGGACGGAAAGGGTCTCAGATGTGCACAGAAGGATGGGATGTGAACCGGAAATTCTGGTGAAAATCAAAAAACGAAAATTTGAATACATGGGACATCTAATGAGGGGCCCGAGATATGGCTTGCTACAACTAATTATTCAGGGAAAAATCCGAGGAAAAAGACGTGTCGGAAGGCGAAAAATATCCTGGCTCAGGGATTGGTTCGGATGTAGCAACACCGAGCTGTTTAGAGTGGCTGTCAACAGGTTCCGCATTGACATGATGGTTTCCAACCTTCGATAGAAGATAGAATTTTAAGAAGAAGAAGGGAAACTAGTATACGATCTTGAGGTACTCCGGATCTAGCAATACAAATATGAAAGTTTTCCCACTGACAACGGCTATGAACAGCAGCAAGCCCTGACTGGTTTTCGCGTAATATTTTATTTTCGATGACAAAATTTCTTTTTTGGAGTTCCTACTACTTTCTGTAGGGAAAAATCCGAGGAAAAAGACGTGTCGGAAGGCGAAAAATATCCTGGCTCAGGGATTGGTTCGGATGTAGCAACACCGAGCTGTTTAGAGTGGCTGTCAACAGGGTCCGCATTGACATGATGGTTTCCAACCTTCGATAGAAGATAGAATTTTAAGAAGAAGAAGGGAAACTAGTATACGACCTTGAGGTACTCCGGATCTAGCAATAAAAATATGAAAGTTTTCCCACTGACAGCGGCTATGAACAGCAGCAAGCCCTGACTGGTTTTCGCGTAATATTTTATTTTCGATGACAAAATTTCTTTTTTGGAGTTCCTATTACTTTCTGCAGAATTTTTGAGAAGGGGCATAATTTCTGCCTGTTTGCAAATGAGTGGGAAGTAAGAAAATAAGATACATTCTTTAAAGATGTCGTTATATAGAGCAGAGCAACATAATGCAATGAGAGTTCTATTAATTTTATCAATTTTATTGAGATCTTTAGTTTTATTATTTTTAATTATTTTAAAGAGTTTATACCCTCTCACCAAGGTAAAATTAGCACGATTTGCAATATTTTTTTAAATATTGTTTTTATAATATTCCAAAAGTTCGGTCCTTTGGGCGGTATAATGAGATTTGAAGTATGGCGTTTCATTTGATTTTAATTATATCTGATAATAAAAAAAACACTAATAAACCTTTTTCTTCTTTTTTTAGTGTTGTTTTTTCGTATGAAACATTCTTATGAAATTTTTAATACAGTTTTCCATGATTTTTGAAGACTTATTATTGTTGTTATTTTGCTATTGTCTATTATTTTCGACTTCGTACATGCTTTAACGAAACAGACGCCATTATCGCGCGCAGTGGATGTTTTCAAACAAATAAATCTGTACGTCTCACTGCAAACGTTGTAGGTCGTATAGGTCTTTCCCCTAGTTAAATATCTTTGGGGGAGCAAATGTAGGGCACGATATCAATAGGAACAGTTGTTTGTTTAGTTCCTGTAGTCCGGCGTGGCAACAAATCGACAAGTATTTATTTAGAGGATCTATTTTGGAAGTCGGTTATTCAGAGCGGTTCAATATTTTCACCTCTCGCACGAACGAATTTCCATTGGCTTTATGTTTATGAGCTCAAATTTTGTCGCCAATTCGCCGTTGCTGTTAATGGAGGCGGAGATCAAACTAGTTTAACAAACAAGTATATTTTGAAGTCTTATTGGTAAATGTATTGTAAAGAACACTTGTTCCTCATTGTATAAAATTATTTATTTAAAATCAAAGCATACTTATTCCTAATACCAAACTAACTTAAACATTTTATGGTATGTTATGCCACAAGCGTGGTAAACGGCATTTGGGTCACGAGTTTAAAAAATATTTTATCACACTTCGTAAATTAGGTTTTAATTATTTTATAATGATCTATTTACCATTAGAATTAATAAGAAACCTATAGAGAAATGCATTGAATTTTCAATAGAATATGATTGCAAAGAACAACTTCTCAACAAGCCAGATGTTTTGGTTAAATTACTAACTGTAAACGTTTTAAAAAGAAAAAGTCTGAAAAGTCGTCGAACAAGCTAACAGTTCGATACAAATTGAAAAAAAATCGAGACGAAAACAATTTACAAGTAATCAAGTCCATTTGCCTGGAGACATTTTTAGGAATTGATTATTGACTGTTTTTCGTACAAACCTAGCAAGTGTGTCAAAAAAACTTTGTCTCAGGGTTTCTGTAATCTCGAGAGGATCAAATTCATAGACCTCATTCTTTGTGTGATCCCAGGGGACGAAATCCAAACGCGAAAGGTCAAGGGACCTTGGAAGCCAAGATACTGGACCACTTACTTAAGTAGTTCTTTCATCGAACTGTTCGCTTAGAAGTTCCTGATTTGAACAGTCTTCTGAGCCGTGGGATTCTTCTTCTAAACTCACCTTCGGCTAGAACGCAAGTGCAAGTACAACGCTACCATGAAAAATTTATTGTTTTAATGAGAGAAAACGTCAAAATCAGAGCCTTCTTTAGATGGAAAAACGATGAAAAATTAAATCATAGCCTACTTATAAAATAATTAAAACCTAACTTTACGAAGTGTGATAAAATCTTTTATGAACCACTGAACTGGAAATTTGGTGCTCTTTTCAAAAGTAGAAAAATCCAATATGGCGACCATAAGAAAAATGAAACATAGCTGGAGTTGCAACATAACAAAAGATGATTCAGACATGTCGTTGAAAAACGAAATCTGCCATTTTCGATTTTTCGCCGATATTTCCCAAAATACACTAAGTTTGCTCTAGAGCTCTCCCCATTTAAGCTTTTCTGGGACACACTGTATGTATATACGAAATTAAATTTGATGCCGATTAGCAATTTGCAATAAAAATATAAAAATCAGTTGGAAGAGATATATCATAATTTAATGTCCGATTCATAAACAACAAATACATAAATATTAAACGATTAATATTATATTTGTTTACTGTAAGTAAAATAGGTTGTTATATTTAAGTTATATTATTAAAATGGCAGCTACTACTAGGAAAACTAGCCGAAACATATTTAAGATTACAAAATAAAGACACCGGAAACTGATTTTTACGTCATGCACTCTGTATAAAGTACTTCTCAAATTACCCGACTTAACTGCGCGTCAAGTTTTGGTTAACGTAATAAATTGTAGTAGGATTAGCGATTTTCAACTATATTATTTCAAATGTCTCGGGCACCCAGTGTGGTAGACGGAAACCGCGAAAATTGAAACAATTATTCATCATTTTTCTTATTTCCAAAAATGGCAACTTTTTTTTCTAATTGTCGACACACTCTGTGGATAATATAAAATATATCTCACGCGCAGTGTATGAATTTGGCCAAAATTGTTGTTTTTATCAGGGCCTTACAACTCACCCATACATTTTTATTACATCATGGACCAAGAAGTTTGCGGTTCCAGGTCTCGTGCGTCATCTGGTTACAAATCGTTTCTGTCTGAACCCAAACAAATGTGGCTACAAGCAGTATATTAAGTGAATAACCTTTTATAGTTTAGAAATTGTTCAACAAGCAATGGTCGGAATGTGAAAACGTCTGCTATAAATCTTTGATTGATTTGATAGAACGAAATTTAAAAAAAAATAGTTTTTTTCTGTTTGAAAAAAGTTTGGTAATGTGTACTAATCAATAAAAATGTACTTAAAGCCTTAAAAAATTATTTGTATTATTTGAAGTATTATAGTATTTTGCTTTTTTAGCATTTAAGTTAAGGTGTTGTAGAACTCCGGTGAACGTGTACACTGATTTCAACAAAGCTTTTGAAAAAATTGATCACAATATACAATAGATCTTCCCGTTACCAGTTTATCACCGTGAGATCGATATCTTCGTTTTATAATGTAACCTGAGGTGCCCTTTTTTTTCTTTTTTACCTTACCTTAATGATGTCAAAAATTGTTTCAAGTTTACTAATATGCTGCTTTATGATGACTATATAAAAATGTTTTTACTGATATTATAATATATTCTAATGTAATAAACTTTGCTTAAATAAACGTGCCTTTTAAACAAAATTTAACCCTTATCTATCTGATATTATAGGAAATAATTAATATAATTAATTAATAATAATTAAATCTATTTTGTTACAGGAAAACCCCAATAAACTTTGTCCTTGGTTAACTTTAAATATTCAGAAATGCGCTTAACTATAGCCTAAACTCACTGCATTTGGAAAGGTAAACCCTAGTAAAAGATCTTGGCATATGACTGGACAGAGAGCTAACATTTACAAAACTTATTGATATAATTACTTATCGAGCAATAGCATTGTTAGGGTTTGTGTTTCGAACTTTAAAGGGGTTTAATAATATCTTCAAAATAAGAGAAATCTACTGAAACGTTTTTGATATCTGTACGCTATTTAAAATTTTGAATAACAACGTTGAGGCTCCTGACTTTCTAGCAATAGAGAGGAATTCTTCAATATTAACTACTACTAATAATACTAATAAATGATAGTTTTAATAAATTTCGTAGCAAAGTCGGAAAATACCTGTGCGCATAACGCCTTGTCTATAGTCAGTAATGTCCTATTGTCTTTAATTGTTTTCCAAATAAAATGTTATTAATACGACATCGTTTAAGAAACAAATATATATGTATTTTATTTGCGGTTACTGAACCGCTTTTTGAGTATTAGTAGTGGTGGTGACCAATAACCTTTATATTTATAAATAAAATTTTGATTTTGATTTTGACGAGAGGTGATCAAACGGACCATCGATAAATTAAATCCTTCAACGAACATCCTCCTCAAACCTACACCCTTCTTTAAATAACTTCCTCTACTTTTCGTTTCCAGGACGAGGGTTGGAAACTTAACAGGACCAATTATTACCAAGAGGGATGGCTGGCCACCGGCAACGTGCGTGGCATCGTCGGGGTGACATTTACCACCAGCCACTGCAAGAAGAATGTCGATTTTCCACTTAGGACCAACTACAATCTGAGGGGTCACCGCTCCGAGGTAATTAGTTAGCAATAAATTAGATAACGGAAGAGGGTGCCCTAATAATCCCCGAGGACAAGTGAGGGCGTGTGTTTTATTTAAGTAGATTTTAAGTGCGCGTCGCTCGGCGCCCTTTGCGACTTGTCTCGTCAAAGTATGTGGCCTAAATAATTCAGTATTTATTTCCCTAGCGAGAAGCCTACCGACTCACACTGGGGCAGGAGAGCTCAAAACTTGGCATAAATTCTCAAACGTAGTAAATATTTAAAAAATGACTAATTTCATATAAAAAAGTTGCCTATAAAAAGAAATGTTATTCCAAAATCTATAATAATAGTGCACATATTTAAAAAAAAATGGGTATATTTTTTTGTAAACTTTGTATCATAATAATGTGGCTCAAAATATACTGTTAATATTGAAATCATGAATATGATAATTATTATTAGTCATCATAATCATCACTATTATCATTAAAATCATGAATATAATAATTATTAGTCATCATAATCATCACTATCATCATTATCATTGCTGGAAGACGGGTAGATGTTATCACTATTAGCATCATTGTCTGAGTCCAATGGTTCTTCGTTGTCAAGATCTTCATTATCAGGTGGGGGTGTAGATACTAGTAAATCCAGAGCTTCCCTTGGCAAACGTTGATATTTTTTTGTCAATATCTTCTTCTTGCTTGTTATTACAGGATCTGAGCTCAATAAAAGTAAATTGAAAATATCCTCATTGGATTTTTTACGGCTACATTTTCGGGAATATTGTTCTCTATATCTTTTAAAATCCTTGTTTCGCGCTTCTTGAGCCTCTTCGGTTAATTGGCCAATGGGTAGTAAAGCATGGGCTATTATTTCGGGCCCATGAATGAGGAATTTGTGGACTGTGGGGGGCATGTGGTACCAGGGGTACTTCTGCGCAAAACGTCTTGCTGTATCATGTGCGAATTCTCGGAACTTGTCGACATTTATTTGTTGACCACTAGAAACTACTGTTAATATTGTATGCATGAGCCTGATCAGCTTGATATCAATATTTGTAATTTCGGCAGAGAGCTCAGAGTTTTTGAAAAAGCGTCTAGCGGTATTCCCGTCATTCGAGTTGCCAAAACCGGGTTTAGGTCTATCAATGATTAAACCGGTTTTTTCTCTAAACAGCTTTTGAATCCTTGTTTTCGTTTCTGCAACTATCTCTTTGTCATTTCCGCGGGCTTGCCACTTTTCAATTGGAAGTTTATATGATAAATGTAATAGACATTGAAAAAAACGGATCCAACCGTGTAATACTGATATCCCGAATTGCAGGTTCTCTGTTTTTATTTCTCTGTTTACCATTTTGTCAATTGAAATGAATTCTTGCGATTTTGCTCCGCAAATATCGCATTGTTGTGTAGATGAGGTCTCTGTTAGGGCGTTACATACTTTGACATCGATCCTTGCTAAAGTAAGCCTATGAGCGACTGAAATTGATTTGCCCCCGAGAGATAAATCAGTGCTGCTTAGTGTATCTATTTCTTTATCCACTCTACTTTTTTCAGCTAAAGACACTTGCGTTGATTCCTTAATGAATTCAATTTTCACAGGTCTACAGTATCGTGTGGATGATGGACAAGGATTCTGCCAGATCACTATTGGGTTCTTACTATCTAAATCGCATATAAGACGAAGAGGAACAAGTGATGTTATAAAAACAGCTGAATCACTCGATTGAGATCCATGAAACGCCTGCTTATAAGAACTATGACCTGAGCTTCCATCGAAACCCCACTTCGTAATTAAACAAAGCTTTTTTAGTTGTTCGTCATTGAGTAAATTGATATTACCTTGTATAGTCATCAATAGGCGTTCTGCAGTGTGGTTGAGCAAAGCTTGTAACTGAACTTCTGCTGATACCTCAGTTACTTTTATGTGCTCCTGATTTGGATAGCATTTTTTCTTTTCTGCTTGCACAACTTTATAAGAAGGAAATTTTTCGGGGTCGCACCTTCTAACTAAGCAATACTGGTGTCTTGACAACTTGGCGTCCACCAATAAAGATGACGCCTTTCTATATTTACTTGCCCGTTTTGGAGAAATTGACATGTCCTGCATTAATTTTGAGGCCTGTGTTTGTCCCGCTGCCCTTAAAGTCATCTGGGTTGCATACTTCAATTCCTCGAGTGGGGTAGATTTTCGCAAAACTTCGGTCTTTTTACGCTTGGTACGATCAGAGCTCTCTTCAAAGTTGATTTTTGGGCGACCCATTTGTTTTGGTGTTTTTATTGTATAATTTAGAAAAGAAATAGAAGTATCCAACCAATGTTAATTATTTTTTACAAATTTATCCTCCACCCTGCCTGCTTTCATCCATCTGTTCTTAAATTATCACTTAAAATGCGACAATCTTTGATCAAGTTCTTTAAGATTCTCCTCAGGACATTTTATACTTTCTCTAACATGCTCCCTCAAAAAATTAAACTTTTCTTCTACGTTTCTCTTAATAATAAATAATAAAAATAACAGCTGAGCTCGCACCTGCAAGTAATAAAAGCAATAAACATTGAGGTTTTTATCCGTACGAAAATATGTACTTTTCAGAAGCACTGACTTTGCCTATTTAAATGGTTATTTTAAACAAAAGTGCAAAAAGGTTGTAACATTTTAAAGTTTGCCTTAATTGTCTAGATAGTATAGATTATAGCCACACCAAAATGAAAGTTTGGACGAACTTGGAACCAAACTAAACCTCTAACCGTTTCTTGGGAAATCGAAAAGTATCAGCCTCCTCACATTAAATAATTACAATTTTATTTTTACAATTATTAATATTTGCAACAAAATTATTAATACTGCAAGATGGCTCCATCATAAAAAAGTATAAATTTAAAGAGTTTTTCACAAAAATAAACGGAAATGAATATGCACTCGAAAACACTAAGGCAAAAACGAACATACGACCTTTTGACTGAGCGTGGCAAGTAGATATAGCGCGCTATTGGCCTAAGATGTTTGTTTTATAGTAGGCATATATATTTGGAATACGAATAACAATATGGCGATTTTCTTATTGATATTTCATATATTTACTTTATGCCAAGTTTGGAGGTCATTGGCCCCAGTGTGCGACTGCGCCATTTCATTTATAGTTTGAGTCATTTTTGATGGTGTGTCTATTTTTCTTTTGGGAAAAAAACAGAACAGTTGATCCTTTTGCACTTGGAAATATTAATGAAATACTCATTGAAATGTCAGTGTACAAAACTATGCTCTTTTCTTTGTTTTAACGAGAGACTTCCTTTAACCGTGTTTATCGCAAAACAGGTGGTGTTGCGTTCTACATTCGTAATGATATTCGTTCATGGACTTAAATAAATTTTGTAACATTTTTAATATTAAAGTTATTTTACTACTCAGGCAGCAATAACTTGAAAAAAAAGGAAATTTTATTCCCATCTTTGAAAGACTTTTAGTGCTCCAGCTGCTGGCCAAACCCATCAACATTAACATTATTCAAGCTTATGTTTCCACACCTGACAAATCAGATAAGAATTTTACAAAGCAACTAAATCGAATGATATCAATATACTCCTGGGGGATTTTAATGCCAAAGTAGGTATGGGTAGAGTAGGGAACGGAGGTTGGGCAAAAATAGAAATGAACGAGGACTACAACTAATTCAGTACTGTGATTTATGATCAAAATAATTTAGTTATTAAAAACACATGTTACAAACTACCACTTCGTCGCCTCTATACTTGGAAGTCGCTTCAAGATAAATACCAAAGCAGGTGTTGATATTGAATCAGATCACATCTTAGTTGGGGGCAATATCTCGCTACATAAAAGGAAAGACGCAAAAGAACGAATCTACATAAAACTGTTCCAAAATACCAATTATCAGAATGAATGTACACTTTACTTAAATGATCAAATCGGCAAGATAACTTCGGCCAGCGATGTTGATGAATGTTGGTAAAACATGAAAAGAGCTTTTGGGAAGTCAAACAAAAAGTTTTTCCTATATGAAGAGAGAAGAAAATTGAAAATTCGGAAAGATCAGAAATTCAATTAGAGGTGCAAAGAATAATGGCTTACTGAACCCTGTGAAGAAGAAGAACATCCCAACGATATCTTCAAACTACATAAAAGAGTTAAATTGCTGGGAACTATCAGAAAAATCTGGTACAGGCTAGTTGAAATGAAAATGCGAAATCTGGAAGGTATATCTGGAAAGTGAAATCGGACCTGCGGTAGAATAAAATAAAAAATATTATCTGGAACTCTGGGTTTGCTATTCTCATAAATAAGGAGAATAGCAAACCCAGGGTTCCAGATATTATTTTTGATTTTATTAATATCTAAACTCTTTAACAACATTTTTGATGCAGGACATCTTCCAAAAGACTGCCTTCGTTCTGCTTTCATTACTTAGTACAAAAATATGCAACGTCCTACCCATTTCTTGAAGCTCTTTTTGCATAACAGGCTTTATAAAAAGTGCGAAGGAGCTCGCGGCTGCTGTCAGTTCGGGTTTAAAAATGGGTTTGGAACAAGAGAAGCCATATTCAGCATACAAAGCTTGGTACATAATTGTCAGGACCATAAAAAAGAGGTCGTGTGCTTTGTCGATTATGAAAAGGTTTTCGATAATGTAAAACACCATCTTCTGATATCGGACCTAAAGGATTTGGGGCTAGATGGTAAAGACGGTCGATTAATTAAGCACTGGAATCAAAAAGCAGATTGAGCAACTTAACAACGGAGCAGTTTGATATAAAAATAGGTGTTAAGGCTGAATTTTAACACTGCTGCTGTTCGATCTCTACTCGGAAAGAGTAAATAAAATAAGCACTAGATTAGGTCTGAAGATTAATATAGGGATATATGTTAAATCAAAATTGAGACTCAGAACAAGGGATTAGATATAGTACAGAGCAATCAAGAGCAACCAAAAAAAATTCTTACAAATAAAAATCAAAACTTGAAACTAAGATACCGAACCCTTAAAAGTTATGTTTGGTCAGTTCT